CAGCACCTTGGAAGCTCAAGTTTATTTTCAGAGAAATTGACACACTTGCAAGGAAGTTCAACTCTCAGTTTGGTTGGGTTAAAAGGGATGCAAATGGGATGGCGGATACCCTAGCAAACGAGGGGCAAATAGATCTTCATTGTATTGGGCAGAATTGTAACTGATGCTGGAGATTGCAATTTCCTATGCAATCTTTAGCTATTGTATCTTAATCTCTCTGTTATGAATGAAAGATTTTTACTGATAAAAAAAAAAATATTTGAATAGGCATTTTGATTTGGAAGGACGGAGTAGTCTTCAACATTCATGAAATTGGATCCATGACACTCAGATTGTTACTTTCCTAGGATTCCTTCTATTATTTTCTTGATATATATGGTTATGTGCTGTCTAGTTCTCTTGAAGCAGTTGAGCTTTTATCAAAATTGTCCACCCCCCTTCTCATATGACATATGCCTGTGCAACACCACTACTGCTTGAGTGTTAGCAATTACACTTGATTGCATGGGTCTTTCAAGTGGCGATAATTTCGAACCATTTGCAGTTGGATGATTAAATCTAAACCAATTAGAGTACCCTTCTATAATTGACAACAATCATGTTCCTTTGTCAATCAGAAAACATGAAAAATATGTAGTACTTTTTTGTTGGTAAGATTTAGTTTGGATTGCTTATTTGGCTACAGAACCATGCATTACATGGGAGTAACCTAGATCTTTATTTCAGCTATGGTTGGTGATGTAAATATGTACATGAATGACCTGGATGATTCACAAATGGCAGAGATTGAAATAATGGTAGCTGAACCTAAGAGGTATTGTTCATTCCTTCACTGAAACAAAAGTCAATATACCAAAGTTTTTGTCAATATTACTGTCAATTAAATTTCTGCCCCTTCAAACTTACACTTTCATTGCATAGCTGGTTAATATTTCAAGTCTTTAAAAAGAAAAGATTTCAATTCTTTAGCTACTTCAACAGAGAAACTTATATATCCTAGAGTTGACTTTGGAAGCCTCAGTTAAAAAGAATTCCAAAAGAAGCTGGACTGGTCTTTTCTTCAGCTATTTTTTAATTTCTCTAATTGAGTAAATTTGTAGTGGAAACAAGATAGCCCTTCCTCTTCTTTTTAAGCTTTTCTTTGATTTAGTTTGGATATGGTGTAGCTGTGTATGTCATGTAGATTTTTTCCTATATTGATTTCTCTTGGATAAACTGCTGATTATCGTATTCTTGTTAGAATAGTCGTGGAAAAGGGCTTGGCAAGGAATCTGTCTTGATGATGATGGCTTTTGCAATTGAGAACTTCAGGATCCACACATTCCGTGCTAAAATTGGAGAGTCAAACATTGCATCCCTTAACCTGTTCCGGAAATTGGTCTCTCTCTCTCTCTCTCAATGAATCATAACTTCTATTTTCGTATATGTACATGGCCATGCATGTATTGTGATATTGTCAATGCAAGTGAAGTTGCATGAGTGCACTTGCATTTGCTTGTGGTTGAGATTTATGTGGGGTGATCTTCTAATATGGTCATTTTTGGTTATAGGGTTTTGAAGATGTGTCATATAGTGAAATCTTCAAAGAGGTGAGGATTCCAAACATTCACTAGCATTAGAACAGATAGCTAGATCATCCATTACATGCTTGATAAATTGGTTGCAATCTAATCTACTAAACCTTGTAATACATCAAAGTAATGTAAGTGGGGCATGGGACCTTCCACTTGGTAGAACACACCTTGTTGATGCCTCAGCCTATGGTTGTCAAGGTAATTTTTAGGTGGACACCTGGCCTAGGCGATAAGGAATTTTCTTGTGATCACCTTGTGCCTCACTTTGATGTTTCCACATTGGAGGTACAATAATTTTTTGTGTGATAGAGCTAAACCATATCATATTGTACAAATAAGTAAAGGGGTGTGAAGAGAGATTGTGGAAAAACCGATTTTTTTTTAAATCTTTTATAATCACCACTCTATCTTTCTAATTGTGACCAGAACAAGGATCTCACTTCATTTTTTCCTTCTCTACAATTAACACAGTTCCGCATTTTGTCCTTTATATATCCGTCACATTCAAAATAAAATTCATCCCTTTATATGTTTGGTTTTACCTATTCTTTGATTTAACAATACACACACATGCACGCGCACACACACAACTCTATATCTCTCTCTTGCATTCATAAAATAGAAGCCCACTTCCTAGTTTCCCATATTCTACGTAATGTTGTTTTAATTCCACTTTTAATGCTTGATGCTTTTATGTCAGTTCACTTTTACTGTTAGGAACAGGATTATTCATAAAAAATCAGAAACAAGATCAACTGGTTTTTTATATAAAAAATATTGCTTTACAATTATGCTTCAAACCAAAGGTAATTGTTACTCACCCTGCCCAGCAGAAGGGAAAGTTAGAGCACATTTATTGGTAGACAGTACATTCAACTCATGTGCACGTTAGAGATTCTCTTTTAATTGTAGTATGGCAATTATTTTATTTTTGATGAACAATTTGACTGATGATATTGCTGATAAAAAAAATTGACAGATGACATTGGAATTACCAGCAACGAAAACCAAGTGTGAAGAGCTGCAAAATTTAATTGGTAAACTGCTTACATATAAGTAGCCCCTAAAAAGTCTGCCTAATCATATTATTCAGATCAAAGGAAACAATTGGGTTTCATATTTATTTCATTTTCATCTTTATTCGCAGTTTCTTCATCATATTACCTCCTTTAAACCTGATGTCATAGTCTCTTCCATGGTTTGGATTTAAAGGTTGAAAGCTGAACTCCATTCCCAGCTCACAGAAAAAATAACAACAATGTTAGTTTTAGCCAACAGCTTCCTAGGTATCTACTTTCTGCTTAAGCATATCTTATTTTAGCCTGAATCTTTACATATTTTATTCTGTTCATATATGTATGATGTAACCGTTTCTGGTCACGTACCAATTTTTTGTGATGTATAAATTTTTTTTAGCTAAGTACCTCGTTATTTGACCCGGTGACGTGCCTTGGTGATGAGCTACTTGGTGGCGAACTACCTGGGGAGAACTGCCTGGTGGACTCGTCATTTGACCTGCTCCTAGGCGGCCTACAACTCAGAGGATGGTGGAGCTCCCTAGGGTAGCGCAACCCGACTGCCCTCTGCATGAGGTGATTTCCTCTCCTTTGTAGGCGGCGGGAGCTGAGGGACCTGCAAGAACTGAATCAGAGGACCCGGGGGTATTTTCCCGGCGGGGACTCTCCGATGCCTAAGTTAGCATTCTGATTACAGAGAGCTTGGAGAGAAATGAGAGAGCTAGAGAGCAGGGGTTACCATCCTTT